GGGCGTGATGACGCCAGCAGAGGGGGCGGAGGTTGGCGGAGCCACGGCAGGAACCACAGCTGCGACCGATGCCACGGGTGGCGGCGCGGGAACGATCGGGATCACGGCCGCGGGTGGTGCCATGAGCTAGGCCGCAGGTGGCTCCGTGGGCAGCGCCTCCCTCGAGGTCGCCGGGATGACGACGAGTGTCAAGGAGGATCCAGAGGGGGCCATCACGGGCGGCGGCGGCGCGACTGGTGCTGAGGCCGTCTCGGGCGGTGATGGCGGAATCGGCGCTGAAAACAGGGAGCCGACGGCGGTGGAGCCAAAGAACTGAGGCACTGACGGAGCCAGGGGCGAGGTGGGAGGTTGAGGAGGGCGGCAAGCGACGGAGGATTGACCCGGAGCTGGCGGCACCCGAAGCGGAAGCGGTCATGGCGCCGGCGGCAGCAGCCCTAGGGTTTAGGGTTTCGGTGGTGCGGCGGCGGCGGGTGGAGTAGAAGACCTACGTTAGGCTCTATACCATGTAAAACATAGGTTTTGAGGGAACTGGCTCAACTCTCTATGGGGTGGCCTATCACATATATATAATGGTGACATACAAGTCCAATACCAATACGGTATGATTTACACAGTAGGACTACAATACGAAAGTCTAACAATGTCTAAAAAACGTATAGGCGGTGCATCCAGGGGTTTGATTACCCGGATTATAAAACATGTTGACCATCGATTGGGGTTCAGAATCATGAGGGTGAATGAGTGGAGCTGGTTGGAAGCGTGCAACTATAGATGTGTGTAGTGCGCACGCGCACCATGCATGCACGTACCATGGATGCAGTACGTGCGTCGGGCTGCTCGATTGATGGATGTAACTATATACTCCCTCTGTTCCTAAATGTAAGTATTTGGAGAGAATTCATTATGGACCACATACGGAGCAAAATGAGTGAATCTACACTCTAAAATGCATCTATATACATCTGTATGTGGTTCATAATGGAATCTCTACAAAGACTTATATATAGGAATGAAGGGAGTATTCTCGTAGCATCATCGTGCATGCTCCATATGCATAGAGTGAGATGCTCATTGGTTCGTCTATGCTGGTGATGTCGCATTTGTTCATCCGTATAACCTAATTAATGATGCCCTTGTGCTGGGGTCATACATTTCCATGCAATCGATCTGAAACAGAAGCCAAATTAGCAGTAGGAGTAAGTTGGCCAGAGACGGCTTACAAAAACAGAAGCCAAGCTATCGGACTGTCCTCTCCGATGGAAATACAAACTAGTTTTCCTAACCTTTTACTCCGTGACTCCAATCTCGATACGCAACACATTAATCCATCTCCGTCGAAACGAGAGGCCTGCCTGCACCTACGTGATCTTATTGTTTACAACGCCGTCACCATGGCCATGGCGTCTGCTCCGGCTCCGCTCCATCAGCCGGCCTCTTCCTCCGGCGCATATTCCTGGCTCCTCCTCTTTGGGCGCTCAACTCGGAAACGGTGTTCTCTACGGCTCGCCGCCGGTACCGTTTCTTGATACATATGCCTTGCATGTTACCTTTACTGTTACCCATATTGCTTGCATCGGCCACATCCAGTGGCGGAGCCAGCGTGTAAGCATTGGGTTCAATTCAATCCAATGGATTTTTCACGCCACGTACATGCATACACCTTGTCGCTTGTTATTTTTTTAGACAATCACGCGAAGCTTTATTTAACTTGTGCCAACGTTCAAAGGTACAAAAGACACATTACCAGGATTGCCTAACCACACATGACGGCCAATCCCCAAATTCAAACTATGCTTCGCTAGATTGTGAGCTTCGAAATTCGGGCTCCTAAACTCATGTACAAAAGTACACGAAATAAATGAGGAACTATGATCTATGATCTCTGTAGAATAGCTCCATAGATAGCCGGCGTTTTGTTCTTGATGTCGTCCACAACGACTTTGCAGTCAGAGGCGACATGTATCCTGCGAATATTAAGGTCTTCAGCTAGCGCTAATGCCTCCTTGACTGTTAATGCTACGAGCGTTGATGGGTCACTGATTCCCTTGACAACCAAAGCTGATGCTCCTTGAAACATACCAGCGTGATCATGGCATATGGCAGCAGCAACTCCACATCCTCTGTTGGCTACGATCGCCGCATCCACATTGATCTTTGCACATGATTCAGGTGGCGCAATCCAGCGACAAGTTCTCGCCGCTTGCTGTTGTACCTGTCCGCTCCCCACTCCAGCGATAATTTGCAAGTCGGCTATGTATGCTTTGATGAACAGATTAGATCCTTGGGGGCTCTCGAAAACTCCCTCATAGATAGCCTTGCGCCGAGCTCTCCATGTGGCCCACAGTGTAACCATCATCAGAACAAAATGCTCTTGAGATAGTTGGTCATGCATCTCTAGTAGCCAGTGTTTTGTGTTAGGATTCGTGTTCATACTCAGAAGTTGCACCACCTCATCCTCCGAGAGCGCCCATATGCACCTTGACATAGTACACTCCAAGAGTACGTGTCTCCATGAGTCTTCCCTCCCGCACAACAAACATCGATGAGTTTCTGACATGTGTCGGTGGTGCAGTAGGTCCGCCGTCGGCATAGTGTGCCTCGCCAGCCGCCATAGGAAGACCCTGAGTTTGGAAGGTACCTTGATATTCCACAACGTTGTCCAATCCCTTCGGTCGGCGTTAAGTGTCGAGCCAGCAGGGATCTGTTCCAGCCAGTTCCCTCGTTCCTCCTTCCTGGTCATGATCATCCGGTATGCTGAACTTACTGAAAATCCGCCGCTCCTCTCGGCTGACCAGGCCCAAAAATCTTCCACCGCCCTAGTGCAAATGGGTATGGACAGTATGGCTTCAGCATCAAAACGCACAAAGGTGGTCCAGATCAGTTCCTCCTTCCACGACGCTGTGGTCGTATCTATGAGTTCAGCCACCAACTCCGGCGGGTTAGGAGTAAGAGATGTGATCGGTCTAAACGGTCCCATTCTCTGCAGCCAGTTGTCACTCCATATATTTGTCGTTTGCCCATTGCCGATACGCCTAACAATGCCTTGCTTCAGAATGTCTCTTCCATCAAGAACAGCCCTCCAAATCTGTGATGGGTGATGGCCTAGTTCTGCCTCCAAGAAGCCTGTGTTAGGAAAATATGCACCCAGTAGAAAATCTTAGTTCAACCCATCAAGCTAGCACCACACCGGCCAGAATCCTCTCAGCCCATAAATTCTTTTTTTTTTACTGGCTCCGCCCATAAACTCTTTAAAACATCAATGGTCCAACCAAAAGCCCACAGCTATTTCTCAAAAAACAAAAGAAGCCCACACGATAAATGTGAAGGCATACGATCCCATCCGCGCAGCATGCTCGGCCGTTCGATTTACATACCATGTATACGCAAGTAACGCAGCACGCTACGCGCCTCGCGTCTCCTTGTCGTCTCTAGCTCCCATTGCGGCGGCTAGCAGGCAGGTCGGCCGTCGGCCGCGGCCGGCAATTGAAGTACAAACTCAAGAACGAGGTTACATCGGCCCTCTGTGCATGTGTTTTAGCCCACCACACCTTTACGGTATTACTCTTTGCCCTAAGTTTCTAGTAACTGCGTTTTCCCTGAACTGATCTAGGTTTTGAAACGATGTTTTTCAAAGAGAAATTGATCGCCACCTTCAGATAATGATGCAGACTCTTCAAGGCCACCCGTTAGATGTAAACAACCTGCATCGAAAGTCATTGCTTCAAGTAATCTTCCAAGGCCTTCTACATATGTAGAGAGAAACTAATTTAAATGCTTGGCCGATCGGAAGAGAATCTAATATTAGACCAGAAATCCTAAGATGCTCGTCGAGGAGATGGAGGTTTTATAGGCCTGGTTGGCCTGCACCTGCCGGAACTTGGCCTCCCGCTCCTCCCGCACCATGTCCATGTAGCCTGCACCGGCGAGGAGGGTGGCGCCGGCTCATCCTCGGCGGCGTCCTCCATTTGGACGTCGTCGACCTCCGTCTGCCTGCCGGCCTGCCAGCCGGCAGCAATGGCCATCGTCTCCCTCTTATCCTCAGACGAGAGGCTATCCTAGACGGCTTTGAGCCTGAGGACACCATGGCGGGCGTGGTGCCGTGAGGAGAAAGAGACCGGAGGAGGATGGTTGTGGCTATGGCCGGGGATGGAGTTTATATAGCGGGCGGATTGCAATGGGTCGAGGCATTATGTTTAATGGTGGGCAGCAGACAGGCGGACGTGTGGCGTCAGAGTAGGTTCCTCGACACCGCATATCATTAATGTAGGACGGCGGATCGACGGCGTGTCGTTTGACGCATAGCAGTCGCCTGCACCGGGAAGCGGCGCGCGCGGCGCTTTCTCGGTCGGCGCGCCTAGTCTCTCGGTCGGCGCTCTCTCGATCGGCGCGCCTAGGTCAGGCAAAGCCCCCCTAGTTTTTTTGTCTCCGGTTTACAAGGAAAAGTGCGTCGAGTGGACCGATACAAAACCGTATTGGATGACACAACACATTTAGACCGCGTGGTCCGAACGGTTACAGATGGTTTGAGGATCGGCGTTGAAGATGCCCTCCTAGCTAGTAGGAGTAAGTTGGCTAGAGACGGCATATATAAAGAAAATGAAACCAAACAATCAGACTGTCCTAAAAGTCAAACTGCTTTTTGTAGAGTGAACGGTCCCGTTTGAAACGATTATGGAGTATAACTTTTTGGTCTGTCTAGGGCACATCTAGATGTGCTCTAGTTATTGCACATCTAAATGACTCAATCAAGTATAAAAAAAATAAAAAGAGAATAAAGAAAAATACTTACTCGAATCGTTGTGTACGGTAAATGATAGTATTGGATTTAAATGTGCAATACTTATGGCACGTCTAGGTACGTGCTTTAGCAAAACTTTGACTTTTTCCTCCTTGACTTCCAAGCTAAGCGAGATATACAACACATTAATTGATCTCCGTCAATACAAGAGGCCTGCCTGCACGTACGTGGTGTTCTTGTCTACAACGCCGTCCACATTGCCATGGCGACGCGGCTGCTGCTCCGGCTCCGCTCCATCAGCCAGCCTCTTCCTCCGGCACATATCCCTGGCTCCTGCTCTTCGGGTGCCCAACTCGGAAATCATGTCCTCCACTGCTCGCCGCAGGTACGTTTCTATACTAAAGCAAAGATAATTATTTTGAGACGGAGGGAGTATATTCCTTGCATGTTTACTGTTACCAAATTGCTTGCACCGGGCCACATATGGACCTATAACATATATTTGGGTACATTACTTGAGCTCCTTCACGCTTTCATGTGCGTGGTTGCTTGGTATATTATCTTTGTGGGCGTTTTTATTGAGCCATATGTTTAATTATAGGGCATGCGGCAAATTCATGTCTTGCCAAAAGCAGTACCCAACAACAGTCGGTTGTTTGGAGGAGGATCACGTTGGCATTCTTCGTCGTCCAAGCCATCCCGCCCTCGCCGCATCCTCACGAATGTGCTCTCTGCTGCGTCCTTCTCCGCTGCCGGCCTTCTCATCGATGACACATCATCGGAGGATAAGCAGAAATCGCCGCCCATGGGCCCAATCGATAGTGGAAGCAAAAAGAAGAAGACTCACAAGAGGGACTGCACCAACGCTCTTCTCGCCATCAATGTCATGTACGTGACCCAGTGTTAAACTTTAGTTATCCTTCTATCTTTTGAATCAAAGTGGCTTCTTAATTTAGGCATCCGCTTGTTGAAATCTTGTTCTTCCTTTTTCGCTTGCTCGCTGGCGTCGAAGGGTTTACATCGTGGATGTAGCAGCAAGAGGGAGGCTTTCTCTGTGCGGAGCTATGGTAGGTTTGTACAGTTTGTGGGTTCAAACTCCATTCAAGTGTATTTGCAGGTCAATATCAATTAATGCTGAACTAATCCGAGATGATTTTGCCATGGATTCAAGGTCAACGAGATGGTCAAGAAAGGGCAGATCTGGCGTTTGGTGACACCATGTTTCCTTCATGGTGGTCTTATTCATCTTGGGGTACATGTTCCTGCTTGTTTCAGTTGACATTAATGTTACACTCCTAGATAATTCATTGCAGCTGCTAATTAACTTCATATATATCATCGTGATGATCCATGCTAGGTAAATAGTTTCGCTTTGCATGATATTGGGCCTATGGTGGAAGAGGTCACTGGCCCTGCAAGATTTCTAACTATTTATTTCACTTCGGCACTGGCAGGTAGGTGTTTCTTCATCTTTTACCTCTCCCCTTCCGATAACGCACAATATTTGTTATTTTTGTAGTGTTAATGTGATAACCGACTCTTTGTTGTCGAAATTGCTATAACAGGTTCACTCATGAGTTACTGTGCTGGCATCGAATCTTCTGTTGGTGCGTCCGCTGCTATTTGTGGATTGGTATGTCCGTCTATTGCAAATAATACATTTTTAGAAATTTGTGCTTAACTGCTTAACCCCATAGTGATTTATAATTTGCCTAGGAATATGACATTATTGTGAACTAGCCACTTACAGATGAGAACATGGGCTTTGTTCCCACAGTTTTCTATAATTAAGCTTCTATTGACTAAAACCGTCACATCAAGGTGCATGATTCAACTGATCAGAGATCGCTCTCGTCCTCTACGTAGACACTATTTGAAGCATGGAAATAAAGTTTTTATTATAAGATGATAGTTGTATGAAAAGTGTGAGCCCTCTTGTTCTATTGAACCAAATATAGTGCCTTGGAACCTAAGTAATTTGTTCTGCATTAACAGGTATTGCCACACCACACATTTAGTCAACAACTAAAAACCCACGTGCATAATATAGATATATTCTGAATGTCAAAATCTTGTATCCCTCACATGGTTTTTTTGTATGACATGTTTTTCTTCTAAAGGTAAATGTTAAAAGAATTATGTGACCTACATATACAACATATTGCACATCTTGAATAAACTGGCATGTAGTCCACTTGTGCATTCAAAATATTTCCTACTTGTGATTACCACCATTGTATTTTGTGACCGGGCCAAGTCATTAAGATGGACTTTCTTGCTTCTCACTACACTACCTTCTATCTTGATGATCAGATTGGTGCACAGGCGGTTTATATGTGGAGGCACCGAAACCATTTGGAGAAAGCAAATGTAACTTTAGGGCGAATTGCATTTGATGTTGTAATTAATGCGGTACATAGTGATTTACTTTTTCGATCGTTTGATTATAAGCTTAGTTTGTCTTCTCTTTTCTGCCATGCGTTTGTTGAATTTCATGTGCAGATCTCATATGTTTGTTTGTGTGCAGGGCGTTGGCCTCTACGTAATGAAACGCATAGACAACTGGGGTCATGTAGGTCTCCTAATTAATAACTCTATCCATGTACAATCCATTCAGATATTGTATGAAATGCTTAATTAGTTTATACTTGGGTTGATTCACATGCAGTTAGGAGGCTTGCTTGCGGGAGTGGTTGTTGAATGTTTTGTCGGTCCACATTGGAAGAAGCTAGGTGTTGCAGAGGATAGAACGAAGGTGATCCAAGACATGGCACCTCTTGCTCGGCTAACCAATGGTGGTATAAGACCACAAAAAACAGTCTTTACTGAGACAGAAGAAGGGTTGTTCGCAAAGTGAAACACATGCATATTCCAGCCTCCAAAGTTGACTTGTTTTGGTGAGACTAGTCGATGGATTGGAGCAAACCTGTTGTACTACTTCCGAAGAGTCTAGACTTCTTATGATATTGTTACTAGTCTCTTATGATATTGTTACTAGTCCAAAGCCACCTGCTATATATAGTACTAGTATAATACCCGTGCGTTGTCACGGGCTCTTGAAATATTTTGCTTGAATTATGTAAACATAATGCATGTAAAAAAAAGATAGCACAGGTATAATCGAGTAATAATTTAAGTCCACTTCACTCACATTGTAAACTGTTAATAAAAGGAAATTTGACAATGCATACATATAGTGCGATGATCGAACTAAAAATTTGTTACAAATTAATATTTATTTGATGCGTTTAACAAATTCTTGCACAATAACCTTCCACCATGACCGCTCCACCACCATCCTGAGGCTCGACATGAGTCAACTTTAATCGTGTCAAATATACATTGTTTGGATCCTCATGCACATTAAGCAACATTCTTAATTTTTTTCTACCTATAAACCACTATTCTTCTTCGTCTTCGTTCTCCTGCTCCTCTTCACTTACTATCTCTACATTCCCTGTCCAAGCCAACCGCAACCATCAATGGCCCATCCGGCTCGAAATCCCCAAACCTTCTACACCCAGACTACGAATTTTGAGGGACTTTTTGCCAATATTTTCTCCTTTCAAGTCTGCAAACAACAATATTAATGTAAAGTAATTAGTGTAAAGTGGTTTATGCCCACTCATGGCCAGTACAACCACAAACTCTGCCGTCTCGCCTACATGATGTTCGTCCACTCCCACAATTTTCCCCCTTACTCTGGCGAGGCCTCCATTACTTCCGAATATTTTGTTCGGATTATTTGCCATCAAGGATAAATTAGCATATGTGATAAAAGTCCCTATGATTTGACACTATAGAGGTAGAGCAACATGAAAAATAAAAGATCATGCTTCTAATCTTTGGACTTTTGTAGTTTAAAAAAATGGCGATAATCTTACAACATTTTTCAGACTCCCGTCCTAATTGAAAATGATTGATGCATTAAGGAACACCTATGGAATCCAAAAAAAACTAATAGCAAGCGACAGTGACATGGATGGCTACCTTATTGCTTTGGAAGTGGATGGCATGAGCCGTCCCCCATATGCACGAAACAGTCCCAGCCATGCACAGTTAGCCAAGAAACATTGGGTCAAAACAAGGGTGTTGGTACCTTGAGCAACGATGCCATCACGTTGATAAATGCCCAACCCAATTGCTCGTCGCCATCCTCGGCCACCACCTGGACACACTCCTCTAGACCCAGGCGTTTCAAACGACATCCTCCCTGCTTCCCCTGGGCGATGGCCGACTACCGTAACTTCTCTGGAGCGAATCCTTCCAAAGCGCTGCCGACAACATCGTCCCTGTGGCGCTGCTCCTTCCTTTTCGTGCCTTTTGCTTCATTGACCTCCTTCCTATGAAGTTTTAGTAACAAGGTACATTTCAGTAATCAGTAAAAAAAATGAAGATATTAGTACAAGAAAAATGAGCCACTTGACAAAGTTTTAGTAGAAATCAGATTTTCGTGCAACAAGATATTTTAGTACGTACTAAAAAGAATAGTACAAGGGCAATCATCCGAACAATATCATCAGAAGTATGAAACTGAACCTTTAGTCGCAGCAGGTGACTACCCTTGTCATCTCAAGATTCAAGCCTCTCCTCTTATCTTGTTCTCCGAGCATGCACTAAAAACTGCAAAAAATACAGAACTATGTGGAAGACAAATCTCCCAGCTTGTTTATGATTCAGAACTCAACTGCATTCAGGCCAATACGTAGCATCTCAAGGATCTAGGTAAATACCTGGAACAAAACTCAATGAAGAACCATAACATCAGTCAAAACTAAACATGGAAATTTTGAACTCACTGACTTTATGTCAGTCCAGTAGAATGCCCGTGCATTGCTACGGGCTACAATGCATATAAATAAATCAAAAAAATAATTAAATTTTAAAGTGGAAGCTCATTTCTCCCTCCTACTTTCGAGTGTGAACGTACATCAAACGGACATCTAACAGGATCCCCAAAATTCAACCGTCTGGAGAATAGGGTACCTTCAAATCCATGCATATCCATATGTGAGGAAGAAATATGGTTATCCAGACTATCTGCCATGTTATCTCTAACATGTGCGGACCGAACAAATTAAAAAAAAACACCCACGACGCACCCTTCTCCTTCCCTGCCGAACCCTCACCTCCCCGCTCGTTTCCCGCCATAGCGGGACATTTTTCACTGGAGCCCTCTCCATTGAAACCAGATAACGCCCATCTCACCTTCGTCATGTCGCACTCTCTTCTTCACATTGTATTTCCCCACGGACCGCCGAGGAGTCCCCCGCCAACCGCCCCGCTCTCCGTTCTGTTCCCCTCCCCATGTGTTTCTGTCGATAGGGGGGAGTTGTGTGCCACCTATGACACCCTCCGAGCCAAGAAGGTAGATCTGATGTCTCCTTAGCCATTTTCAGATTGTAACATATAGTTCCCCTCCCCATGTGTTTGTGTGGAACCAACGTCGGGGGTCAGCCGAGCGCCACCCTGGCGCTGGTTTTGGCAATGCTCCATGTGCCCAGAGATTCCGCGTGATCCACCGATGCAGTGAAGGCAGGATATCCTTGTTAGTACTGTATATATGTCATTAGGGCCTCTTGTACCGCCTTCAAGATTAAAAAAATAGATCTATACAAGAAAAGAAGATCCTTCAAAATTGCAATATCAACAAATATTACACCTATGCATTACTAAGGTCTAAGGAGTATTAAAATATGAGATTTACAGGAAACAAATTGGAAAACTATTGAGATATTTCAATAGAGAAAACATATATACAAGGGAATATATTGCTTCAATTCTCACATTTTCAGGCCTGTCACCTCGATCGTAATTATATGTGTCTTTATCCCTCTAGGTAGGGCTGGAAAAAAAGCTCGAAGCTCGCGAGCTAAACAAGTAGCTCGTGACTCGGTTCGAATCGACTCGAACTCGAAGAATAACAAGTCGAGCCGAGCTTTAGTTTAAGATCGTTTATAGACCAAGTTAAACGAGTCAATCTCACGAGTACTCGTTTAACTCGTTAGGCTCGATACAATAGATCAGCCACTCCCAATACAAAGAAAGATCAGCCACTAAACAGCCTACTTCCGAGGCGCACAACCCAAGGCCGAGCAGTTGAAGGACTAACCTCCTAGGAGACTCACACGTTACAAGAAAATTACAATTCTATAGTGATATATAAGTTTAATATATACATAATCATTTTTTATCATATTTGAGGGCTTTATGTTCATATCTTAAACTAGCTTAACGAGCTAAACGAGCCAGCTCGCGAGTTATACGAGTCGAGCCAATCTTGGGTTTGAACTCGTTATAGTAACGAGTCGAGTCGAGCTAGCTCGTTAACGAAACGAGCTCTAGCGAGTCAAGCCGAGCTGGCTCGACTCGGCTCGAATTCCAGCCCTACCTCTAGGACTACAGGAGAAAAATGCATATGCACAAGTTGGTGGGTACCATGTTAACAAAAGAAAGTTCTTTCGATTAACAATAGCAGTACCATGAATGTTGTTCCACTTCTCTACAGTGCAATGGTTGCCTGGCACTGAAAAGTCTATCTCATTCTTACATGCTGAATGGTTTTCTTTAGCTGTCGCTATTCTTTACGGATATACCGTTGCTGGCCTAACTGTCTCTCGTGAAATCACGTTAGAGCATGTGTGACTGGACTATATATTCCCTCCATCCGAAAAAGCTTGGGACAAGCTTTTTTGTATGGAGGGAGTATGTTGGACTGGAATATATGTGTCTCGGCTGGACTGGACCTATCCGGCCGTTAGATACTTGTGGTGTGAGGAATGAAAGGAACAGTGTATACAGATGAGTAAATATGGTACTATATAAATGCAAAGGTATCACTACTATTGTCTGTTGGTCTAGTGAGAAACGACGTAGCTCTTTTGCCACCAAATTATCCTGGAACATGCAAATACAGTACAAAAAGATGTTGGATTTGCCCGCTGAATAACAAATTCAGTTAGAATTTCATGTCGGCAGCAATCAAGATTTCTTATTGCCATTACGAAAGGACGAAGCAGAGTAGAGATAGCAGCAACTGGCCACCAAATGTTCGGACTACGATTGTTTGAGAGCACGTGGTAAAATCTTGAAGTTATTTTGAAGCTATCAAATACTGCAATCCATATGATCATATATTACATCACATAAGAATAAGATGCTACTGTAAATGATATACTTACTGAATTTAATTTATCAGGTAATCGTTCAGTCACTACAACATTATTTAGTTCTGCAAACATCTTGATTAATAGATTACGGGATACCTTTAGAAGACTTGATGTAACCAACGTGTGACTAATCCATCCTGTCAAGTTTGTTGGGAATTCCAATAGCATGTACTGCAGGTAATCATGCGAAACAAATTCTGGAATATAAAGAGGGACAACAAAGAGTTATAGGTTGAAGTGGTATATAGTTTCAAACGATTACCTGATAAACATAGTGTCAGTCTCCAACTCTGCAATAATGACCTCTTATGCAGGAACCTACAAGAAACTGAGGGAAATACATATACAAAATCAAGCTGTACATTTGACAGTACTTGGTAAAAATGGTAAGATACAGATAATTAAAGTACATAACTTGCAAAACAATTTGTTTGCTGCATTACGATTACAAAACACATCAATCAATGCATTTCTAAGATTGTAAACCTGAACCTCCACAGTTAGTACTCCATGACAAAGAGCAAAAGCAATGCATCGATGCATAACCAAACCACACGGGGATGCCAACATTCACCTAGAAAACCTGCTGGAAGTACAAAATCCCTGACAGCCCGGGGAATCGAAGAATTCGCCTTTTCATCTTTGACAGTGTTCATCAAAGATTCATCATGATTCTTCCAATGAACAT